GCATTTACCTCGCAAGTGAGCAATTTACATCATTTAAAAGAAACCAGAAGTCTCTAATGAGACTGAAGCTCTACTGGTCTGTACATGTATAAAAGGAAAAGTAGCACTTGGATTTGATTTTTTAACAGGTAGAAATAAATAGAATTATGTATCATTGTGTAGTCTACTTGTCTGCCATGTTATATTAAATCAGACCAAAATTGTAAGAAGAAGTAATGTTTTATAAACGGAATTTCACAGAAAATTTCTATTTTAATTTATGGCAAACTCTTCTTTATTGATGTTAAAAACCGATGCATAAAATTATTTTTTTTAATGTAGTCCACTTGTGTGCCATGTTATACTGAAATCCTTCCAAACTGTAGGAAGAGTAACATTTTATAGGAATTTCATAGAAATTTCAATTTTTGGTATCCACGGCAACACCATTCATTTAAATCAAAAACCGATACACACAATTATGTATCTTAGTGTAATCTACTTGTGTGCCGAGTCATATTAAAATCAGACCAATACTGTAGGTAGAGTAGCATTTTAAATAAATTTCACAGAAAATTTTTCTATTTTAGTAACCATGGCAACATCGTTCATTGAAATCAAAAACTGATGCACTAATTTAAAAATGTTCTTAGAGTAGTCTACTTGTGCCTCAAGTTATATTGAAATCAGACCAAAACTGTTGGAGGTGTAGCATTTTGAAACAAGAGGCCCATGGGCCACATCGCTCACCTGAGAAGCTTTGACCATTCTGTTCTTTACCAGATTTCACCCTTGTTATACATAATGCATCCCCACCCTACCCCACTGATCATAATTTAGACATTTTGAAATCTACACTACCACATGATCCTTCCATGGGCACATATGTTTCAGCTTTTTGGCCCAGTGGTTCCCGAGAAGAAGATTTTCAAAGATTTTTCCTTTATATTTCTATGTAAAACTTTGATTCCCTATAATGGCCCCGCCCTTCCCCCGGGGGTCATGATTCCTACAATTTAGAATTTACACTACCCCAGAATGCTTCCACATAAGCTTCACTTTTTCTGGCCCAGTGGTTCTTAAGAAGAAAATTTTCAAAGATTTTTCCTAAATATTTCTATATAAAACTTTGATTCCCCATTGTGTCCCCACCCATCCCCCGGGGGTCATTAATTAAACAATTTAGAATCTACATTATACCAGGATGCTTCCACATAAAGTTTCAGCTTTTCTGGCCCAATGGTTCTTGAGAAGATTTTCAAAATTTTTCCTATATATTTCTATGTAAAATTTCATTCCCCATTGTGGCCCCGCCCTTTCCTGGGGGTCATGATTTGAACAATTAAGAATCTACACTATACCAGGATGCGTTTAAATAAGTGTCAGCTTTTCTGGCCCAGTGTTTCTTGAGAAGAAGATTTTCACAGATTTTTCCTATATATTTCTTTATAAAACTTTGATTCCCCATTGTGGCCCCACCCATCCCCCGGGGGTCATTATTTGAACAAATTAGAATCTACATTATACCAGGATGCTTCCACAAAAGTTTCAGCTTTTCTGGCCCAGTGGTTCTTGAGAAGAAGATTTTCAAAGATTTTTCCTATATATTTCTATGTAAAACTGTGATTCCCCATTGTGGCCCCGCCCTTCCCCCGGGGTGAAGGATTTGAACAATTTAGAATCAACAATATACAACAATGCAAACACATAAGTTTCAGCTTTTAATCTGGCCCAGTGGTTCTTGAGAAGAAGATTTTCAAAGATTTTTCCTATATATTTCTATGTAAAACTTTGATTCCCCATTGTGGCCCCGCCCTTCCCCCGGGGGTCATGATTTGAACAATTTAGAATCTACACTATACCAGGATGCTTCCACATAAGTTTCAGCTTTTCTGGCCCAGTGGTTCTTGAGAAGAAGATTTTTTAATGACCCCACCCTATTTTTGTCTTTTCTTGATTATCTCCCCTTGCGAGGGGATATGTCCCTTCATTTTAACAATTTAAATTCCCCTTTACCCAAGTCGAAAATGTGAAAAGTTTACAGACGGACAGACAGACAGCTAGACAGACGGACGGACGACGGACAAAATGTGTTCAGAAAAGCTCACTTGAGCCTTCGGCTCAGGTGAGCTAAAAAATGTTTACAGATAGACAGACGGACACCTTACTATCGCATTTATAAGCTCTTCTGGTCTCTGACCAATAGAGCTAACAAAAACAGACCAATGTTCTTTGTAGAATTTTGTCAAGCCATTAGCTGAAGTTTTTACAGCAGTCTGATATTTATCCCCTGACACAATTATAAAGTGTTTACTACAGATGGTCTAATCTTTCACTTAATTCAAACTTGTTTACCTGAGCTTCCTTCAATCACTAGTCCAGATGAAATAATGGGATTTAAGTCTGCAGATTCATTCTCATTTTCTTTGTTGAGATGAGAGTCTACAAAAGATTATATTGGCCTTTCTAACATCGTATCAAGCTTTTCAGATTTCCCAATTCAATATGGAAAACCACTCTCTGGTATACAAGTGAAATCACAATGCCTCATATTAATAAATAATCTGAAAATCCATATTACCCATCAGAAGGACATGCAAATATCCAAGGCATATCAAATTAGAAGTTACATTTTAATAACCTCGAAAAGTTAAAAAAAAACTTCATTTATCATTTAATATAACAGTATTTGCTACAAATTGTGTATGCTTAAATTTATTGACTCTGTTTTAAATTAACCTAAAATAAGCTCGACAGTGTGTATCATTAAACCTCTACTGATCAGATTTTTCATTTTGTTTACTCTCTGAATGTACGTATAAACACTTTCTAATTGAACTGTGCATTAAATTGCCATGATGGATTTTTAGAATAGTCTTACATTATTATATTTTGGTAGCAGTAAAGCATAGGTAGTCAGAGATTACAGAGCTAACCTCAAGTACAGACCCTGAGACGTGCTACTACCCCACACGCTCGCTGCACGAACGGTACATGACCTCTACACGGTTTGCACGAAACGCAGCACGGTTTACACGAATTGCTTTACACTCAATATCATCATTACATTGATATACTTTGTGTCGTTGTTGAATAAGAAAGAGTCGTTGTAAATCTGAATTTTAAACAACAGTTGTTTGTTTTATTTAGTTTAACTGAAAACTTGTATTGTACATGGAACAGAATAATTGTCGAAGTGTTGACAAATTTTATGTATTTAGTCAGAACACTTTTAGGTCCTTTTAATGTGTATGTATACGTAGTTGGACAACAGTCAGATTCAGATATGTCATGAAAAAGACAATAGTCACGAAAAAAATATGCAGAAAACACAACAGAGACAATTCTGAGATGTACAACAAAGAATTTACTTGGAACGCAGTCAGTGCGCAATATATTTTGATCGCAGTTTTTGTCTCAGAAACAATGACGTCATTTTTCTATTGTGACGTAAAATTCTGTCAGATTACATAAGGGGGGTTTTGCTTGGAACGGCTCATATATTATATTTTCAGTATATACATACAGCCCCCCACCCCCTCCATGGAACCCCTGACCCTGGGTCCTTGAAATTCACAATTCTGGAAGATTATCATAACTATATAGGTAGTTCATCTGCTTAATACCTAGAAGCAAAGAAGAAAATTTTCAAAGATTTAATGTATTTGCACTATATAATAGATAGAGCCCCGTCCTTACATCAGAATCCCTGACCCTGGGGCCATAAAATTTATAATTTTTAAAGAGGCATTCTTGCTCATCATAACTATAGGTAGTTCATCTGCTTAATACCCAGGAGCAAAGAAGAAATTTTTCAAAGATTTAATGTATTTTCACTATATAATCAAAAGAGCCCCGCCCAAACACCAGAACCCTTGACCCTGGGGCCATAAAATTCATAATTTTTGGTAGAGGCACTTTTGCTCATCATAACTATGCACTTAGTAAGTTTATTTAATACCCAGGAGCAGTGAAGAAGATTTTCAAAGAATTCATGTATTTTCACTATATAATCAATAGAGCCTCGCCCTAACACCAGAATCCCTGACCCTGGGGCCATGAAATTCACAATTTTGGTAGAGGCACTCTTGCACATCATAACTATGCATTTAGTTAGTTTATTTTATACCTCGGATAAGAGAAGAAGATTTTCAAAGAATTCATGTATTTGCACTATATAATCAATAGAGCCCTGCCCTAACACCAGAACCCCTGACCCTGGGGCCATAAAATTCACAATTTTGGTAGAGGCACTCTTGCTCATCATTTCTATGTACTTAGTTGGTTTATTTATTGCCCAGGAGCAAAGAAGAAGATTTTCAAAGAAATAATGCATTTTCACTATATAACCTGTTTAGCCCCCCCCCCCCCCCCCTAGCACTAGAACCCCTGACCAAAGGGCCATGAATTTCACAATTTTGGTAGAGGACTCAATGCTGATTACAATCATGCAAACAGTTTGACTGCTTGATGTCCAGGAGTAAAGAAGAAGATTTTTAAAGATTGCATAAATTAGTGGTTTTGGCCCCACCCCTCAGGCCCAAGGGGGGCAGGGATCATGAAATTTACAATTTCTGTTCCCCCTTCACCCACAGATGCTTTGTGCCAAATTTGGTTGAAATTAATTCAGTGGTTGCAGAGAAGAAACTGGAAATGTTCAAATGTTAACGCATGACGACGGACGAATACGGATAGCAATAGGTCACCTGAGTCTACTCAGGTGACCTTAAAAATTCACAGATGGAAGGAAGACAGGTAGACAAATATATGAGCAGAAACCAATTTGACTAACATACTTAACTTGAGCTTTCAGCTCAGGTTAAATGTAGCTGAAAACTTTAGCTTGCAATGTACTACAAAAATATGTAAATACATGTACAGCTGTACATCAAATGTTTCCATCCCTATTATGCAAACAAGTTTCATGAATCCATTCTAACATTCAATATAAAAATTAAACAAAATTTGGATAACAGGTTTTTTTTTCTATGCCATTGAAATTCAATAGAAATTGCCAATGTTTACTGTATACACATACCCATTTCCTTGAGATTATGCTTTCTTTTTATCCATTTTTTCCAAATGAAGAACAAAACAAATGCAACATATGTTGACAATGTCAGAATCACAAATGCTACTCCCACACCAATACCAGGTACTGAGTCTTCACTGCCTGATCTGAAAATATTCAAATAATGTGAAGAATTCAAAAAAATATCAGATATTAAACAATTATGGATTCATCTGATGATGATTATGGTGAGTTATTCACCAGAAAGATTTCAATATTGACCAAGGCAATTAAACCGAGTGAAATATTCTCAAGAGGGGCATTAAACCACATACAAAGAAACTTGAACGCTGCTAAACTAGACATATAACACTTTATTTAGTCAAAAATTTACCTATTTAAGCATACATGAATGACATTTTAAATTATTTTTGAAAACATTGTTTGTGACACCGTAAATCTGGAAATTTTTACGTAGATTTATTTTTGCGAATTTAGGTCAAAAAGCTATAGATTAATTTTTATGTTTCAAAACTTTGCAAATTGATATTGGCACTAAAAATAACCAGAAGTCTCTGTCGAGACTGTAGCTCTACTGGTTTATACTTAAAACAAAGGAAGAGAAAAGTAACAGTTGGGACTTGAGACTTTAAATCAGCAATAAATAGAAAAATGATCCTTGCCACTCATCAAAATAAAAACCGATGCACAGAATTATGTATCTTAGTAAAGTCTACTTGTGTGCCAAGTTATATTGAAATCGAACCAAAACTGTAGGAGGATGAGCATTTTGAAACAATTTCACAAAAATTTCTATTCTTAGTTACCATGGCAACACCATTCATTGAAATCAATAACCGATGCTATGGAACGCCGTAACTGCCTTATATGGACAGCTTTCACTATAAGCTGGTACTTTGTCATTATATGATAGTATTGTCATTATATGACATAAGATGCACAGAATTATGTATCTTAATGTACTCTACTTGAGTGCCAATTGCAAGTTATATTGAAATCGGACTAAAACTGTACGAGGAGTAGCATTTTGAAACAATATCACAAAAATTTCTATTTTTAGCAACCACGGCAACACCGTTTATTGAAATCAAAAACTGATGCACAGAATTATGTATCTTAGTGTAGTCTACTTGTGTGCCAAGTTATATTGAAATCGAACCAAAACTGTAAGAGGGGTAGCATTTTGAAACAATTTCACAGAAAAATCTATTTTTAGTAACCTTGGCAACACCGTTCATCTAAATCAAAAACCGACGCACAAAATAATGTATCTTAGTGTAGTCTACTTGTGTGCCAAGTTATATTGAAATCGAACCAAAACTGTAGGAGGAGTAGCATTTTGAAACAATTTCACAAAAATTTCTATTTTTAGCAACCACGGCAACACCATTCAAAATTTCTGGCTGATACAAATGATACTACATGCCTGTATATATTTGTATATTCTTGCCTTTTAACCCTTATCCTGCTAATCGCGACTCTGAGTCGCGCTGGCTTATCAGATCTGCTGCTGCGGATCGCGACCCCAGGTCATTTTGAGGGGTTTCCTCATCTGATGCTTGTTTACCTGCTATTTTTAGCATAGCATCCCATGTCAATGAATAAAACAAGTATAAATATAAACCAATGGTTTAGAATTTGTAAAAATATACACCAATCAGAAAGAATCATGTGCATAATCACCATCCAAAATACATGGAACTCGAGAACAAAGAAATATTCTAAAATGGCTGACCTAAATATGCATGCTTTTAGTCTCCGGAGCTTTGTAAGAAAGGACATAAGTTTATACATTAAAAGAAATATATTTAAGCTACTATCTAAAGGTATAATAATGATATTTAATGTGTCATTATGATTAATATTTATAGCATTTATATAGTTATTCGGACTTATTATCCATTATCCATACCGTTGAATATAAATCGACATAAATGCAATAAATTGTAGGAATATAGAAATAAAATTTATATGTATAGAAAGCTCTTTCTTTTCCTTATATTTTACATACAACTATGTGTTGATTGCATCAAAGTATGCATTCACTGCGATATCTGTTTAGTACACTTAACTTTCGCCGCAGCAGTGGAACTGATAAGCCAAAACTTTGACCGCAGGATAAGGGTTAATAGTTGAATTTTTTTTTTAAATTTCTTCAGGTTATTGTTTATTTCTTCCTGAAATGGACTTAACTTCTCCCATAGTTTTATTCATTACATCTGATGCATAAGCAACCCTTTTCTGAAGAATGATGCTTAGACTGTAAGCTATAACAGAGACCTAAACAATGTCGCTGGCAATATGCAATAGCTACCACGGGCAGTTTAAAACTTAGGGGAGGAAAATAATTTACAGACAGATACTTTTGAAACGAATATATAATTATCTCACCAGCATGTCATTGTGCAACAAAGTCGTCAGCATTTTATTTGTCCTTTGAACGGGTGAAACGTTTTGAATGGCACTCGTATCGATGAATTTTACACTAAACCAAGCTTCTTCTAAGAGCTAGCTTTATTTACCCACCGTTTCATCTTAAAACCAGAAGTGCAAGTTCATAAATTTGAAATCTCGATCCCGACTCAAATTCGACATCGGAAAGAAAAAAAATTGTTTTTTTTTTTTTCTGAAAATTCAAAACCTTGAGCGGAGGGTTTGTAAAACTGAAAATAAAATAAAACCTGGCCTTAAATATGTAATTAGATCATTAGCATATTAATCAGGAGCAAAGAATAAGATGTTCAAAGAATTCATGCATTTCACAATATAATCATTAGAGCCCCACCCTAAAACAAGAACCCAGACCCTGAGGCCATAAAATTCACAATTTTGGTAGAGGCACTCTTGCTCATCATAACTATGTTTATTTAATACCCAAGAGCAGAGAAGAAGATTTTCAAAGAATTCATGTATTTTCACCATATAATTAATAGAGCCCCGCCCTAACACCTGAACCCCTGACCCTGGGGCCATAAAATTCACAATTTTGGTAGAGGCACTCTTGCTCATTATATCTATGTACTTAGTTGGTTTATTAAATACCCAGGAGCAGAGAAGAAGATTTTCAAAGAAATAATGCCTTTTCACTACCTACTTATTTAGCCCCACCCCAGCACTAGAACCCCTGACCCCAGGGCCATGAATTTCACAATTTTTGTAGAGGACTCAATGCTGATTACAATCATGCAAACAGTTTGACTGCTTGATGTCCAGGAGTAAAGGAGAAGATTTTTAAAGATTGCATTAATTTTAGTGGTTTTGGCCCCACCCCTCAGGCCCCATGGGGGCAGGGATAATGAAATTCACAATTTTTGTTCCCCTTCACCCATAGGTGCTTTGTGCCAAATTTGGTTGAAATTGGTTCAGTGGTTGCAGAGAAGAAGCTGAAAATGTTCAAATGTTAACACACGACGGACGACGCACGACGACGGACGAAAACGGATAGCAATAGGTCACCTGAGTTTACTCAGGTGATCTAAAAACAGATTTGGCGCAAAAAATAACATTCCACAAACGCGGGCGACTTTGATCCATCATCCGACTGTTCAAGTGTCGATTTAAACATCTATTATCCATGATTTACATAAACGAAACTCAAAGAAGGTTCGGTACGATTTTTTCGGATTTAGGGTATCCATGGGCATTTTAAGATAATCAATTGTTTCAAATCCATGCTGATTTAGGTGATGCTTAACAAGCTTTTTAATTAGAAATAGCCACTAGTATCTAACTATTATCAAAAGAAAGCGATTTGGTTATATATTCTATTTATACAAGAGGCCCATGGGCCTTATAGGTCACCTGAGCATCATGCAACAACTTTCAAATGATTGAATTTGGTTCATGTTTTAAGCTAGATGCTATGGCATTCACAATTTTGAAAGAAGCACCATTGCTAATCATAACTATACACTTAGCAATTGTTTAATTTGTTTACTTAATACCGATAAGCAGGGTAGGGGAACAAAAAAGTATGTCAACTAATCAGTAATATTCAGTTAAAATCAGGAGTGCTCCTACCTCACATGAACCCCTGACCCTAGGTCTACACATTGCACAATTTTTGAAAAAGCACACTTGCTTATCAAAAATGTTTGATTAATACCAAGGAGCAGATTTCAAACAATTCATTTTCAGTGTACAAGTAGAGCCCCCCCCCTCCCTATTTTGGTATCCCTGACCCTGGGGCCTTAAAATTCACAATTCTGGAAGAAGAACCCATCATAACTATGTAAATAGTTCATCTGCTTATTACCCAGGAGTAGACAAAAAGATTTTCATAGATGTAATGTATTTTCTAGGGGTGCAACGATACGCCTACTCCACGATACGATACGTATCACGGTATTCAGTTCACGGTACGATACGTATCACGATACATGACATATTGGGTTAAAAAGTCAGACGTTTGTCATCATATGCCTAAAACTCATAAGTCTTATCAAATGCTCATTAGGCTAACACTAGAAAAGTGATAACGTTCTTCGGCCCGTTAAATATGAGACTGGAAACACGTTTATTTGCCGTTTCTGCAGTTTCATAATCATTGACCTCATGTTTCGTGCGGAAGCCATTTTGAAATTGTAAATGACGAACCAAAATGGATGATTCGGATAATTACGGATCGATTGAACCAAACCGTGGTATCAGTTTCACGTATCGTGAACCGAACCGTGGAAAAATAAACCGCGGTATACCGACAAACGGTTTATCGTTGCACTCTTAGTATTTTCACCATATAATCATTATAGAGTCCCGCCCTAACACCAGAACCCCTGACCCTGGGGCCATAAAATTCACAATTTTGGTAGAGCCACTCTTGCTCATCATTACTATGAACTTAGTTTATTTAAAACCTAGGAGCAGAGAAGAAGATTTTCATAGATGTAATGTATTTTCACTAAATAATCATTATAGAGCCCAGCCCTAACACCAGAACCCCTGACCCTGGGACAATAAAATTCAAACTTTTGGTAGAGCCACTCTTGC